CAAGTCTTTCAACGCATTTTTATTTTTCACTTTTAATTAATAATCACATCTTACTCCTAATGATGGTTTTTATCCAAATGCTTTGTTAGAGTGGTAGAAAATATTTTTTAAATTTTTTTATTTAATATTATGTTACTTATTTAAAAATACAATGGACAAATAAATTTTTTACTCCATACTAACGATTTTTTTGTTCATCGTTAGGGATAAAAAATATAAAAGATACGAGTGTAAAAATAAACACAAATTATACTTTAACAATGATCCTTGTCTATATGAATATTTTAGACCAAATAGTAGAATATTAGTTATTAGTGGGTAAGAGCAGTTGGGCACTAGAAGCCAACTATAGTCACGTGTAAGAAAGTCAAACCAAAACCAAACGGCCAATGAAAAAGTCAAAACAATCGCCAATAATCACGCAGGACCATGAACCAATAATAATCATGAGACAATAACAAACAGCGCCAGAATATTGAATATTACAACAGAAGAACTTGGAGAGAGAAACAGAAGGGGGGAGAGAGAGAGAGGACACAGCATTCTCTCTTCTTTGGATCTCTCAATCATAATTAAGATTTTCTACTCAAGAAAAATTCCCTCTTCTTCTCCATTTAAGCAAATATTAATTCTTTGATTTTTTCTTGAAAGTGTTCTTAAATTGATGAAAGGATTCATATACCATATCATATCATAGTGTTTGTTTCTTAAATCTCTTAAAGAATTTTCAATTTGGTTTCTTGATTTTATTTATGCAAACTATGAGTAGGATTCGCGTAAATTCGTCTCCTGAATTAGCTGCTTCTCCATCAACAACTGAACAGCATTATGATGATTCTGCATTGGAAGGTAAATCACCTTACAAACCTGTTTATTTTCCCATCAGAAGATAATCTTCAACTCACTTCCTGATTCTTTTCCTTTATCTACATCATGATATGTGCACTCTGGTTCATAAATCAGATTGTCAAATGTTAAAAACACGTCCAACCTTTTCGTCTAAAAGCTTAAATTTAGAGTGGGAAAGAATTTATTTAAAATTTATCTTTTCTTGTCTCTGCCATTCAAAAATCGACAAGATTTGTGTCAATTGCCAATTTACTCAATATTATTTACAATGTTCAGGAGTTGCAGCAAATGTAAAGTTATTGTTGAAATTAATTCAAGATCACAAGGATGCTTGCAATAAGGAGAAAAAGGATGGGAGAAGAATGTTAAGGGTGGCTACAATGATGACAATTCTTGATAACGTTAGGACAAGAATTCAGAAATGTCAATCATTTGGTAATAAAACTTCAGAAGCTGAACTGAGGCGATGCAACACTGATCTTAAGCCTAACCATGTTCCGAGGGACAAAAAGCATGGGGAACCGATAGCAGACGAGAAAGAAAGGCTACGAAAAGAGCTAAATGCAAGCTTGGCAGCACGAAAGAGCCTCGAGATAATGTGTTCAAGTTTGGGAAAAGAGAAAGAGATTATGGCCGCGGAACTTTCTAGAAAGGTACATGAATTGAATGGAATGGAAGAGCTTGTCAATGATTTCAAAGCACAAAATGAGACATTGTTGGAAAAAGTCCAAGAATGTGCTTCGGAACATAAAGAAAGGGGAGGTGATGGAGGAGGAAAACAAGGAAACATAGCCCTCCAAGAACGTAACAAAGTACTCTCAGAGCAACTTATGAAGTCGCTCAATGGATATAAATCCATGAAGAG